AATGATTTTTTATTATCACTTGCTATGATACGAAACACAACTCAAAGCAACGCTTTGGTCTCTGCACAATTTACTAACTACAGATTGTATGGTTATGTAAATTATGATTTATCTGCACAATCTGCACAGTATGGTGATTGTACGTGTTCTTCATCAGCTACATGCATTACTCAATATGCAGTTATTAATTATCCTAACTTCACGGACACATTTCCTTTACCAGGACTTTATACGGGATGTTATATAGTTGATTCATTACTTCAGTCTGATCTTCAATGTTTTTATGATCAAGCCTGCATCAGTAAAGTACAATCATACTTGGGATCGTCTACACTTATGAATGTAACAGCTCTTAATATATCATTGTCGATTCAGTTTTTGGAAAACTCAACAATTTCAGATATTATTGATCAATTAATGGTTGAAGAATGGATTAACTCAAGCATGTATGAAAATTACTACAGTGAATGTCAACCATTACATTGTACTTATACTGTTACGACGAAGAATAGTGTAATATACATTATTACAACTCTGATTGGATTAGTTGGTGGTTTGATTACAGTATTGAAACTTACAGTGCCCATGCTAGTCAAGTTCGCAAGAAAACGCATGCACAAAGAAGTAAAAACAGAAACTGGTAAGAGATGAAAATAGCTTAAACAGTGTTATATATAAAACGTATATGCATTCAACCGACAGAATGCAGAGAGAAAATAAAAGGCGATGTTAAACAGATGAGAATGTCGTTCTAATAGATTCAGTAACATACCGCAAAATCAACATTTCGCGAGTGAAATTCGACATCGCATAAAATAACTGAACGGACAAAATAGCAAAAGTTTATAACATCTTTATAATGAATATGCATGGTTCAATAGCCATTTTATGATCTATAGTCTGCCGAAATAGAGTTTTCCTGAACTAATAAGAGAAGATGTGATGAATCAAGAAGTGTTTTTCGTTAAAAACGTTGTTTATGAAAACTAGTTTTGTTGTGAAAATATTTGTAAAAGATTTGACACGAGTTTATACTCGTGAACGCAAAGGTGTATTGTACCTTTAATGATATCTTTCTCTCTGTTACTCAGTTCTGGATTCATGTCGTTCCTTCTTTTTCTCATATATATACACTTTTGCTATATTTGAAGCAAATACATACTTAACGTATATGACTCGATAAACATCTATACCGAGTATCACGATTAGCTACTCTCCCGTTTTGTTTTACATATAACTCTTTAATCTTAGTTCTTCTCAGAGATGTTTGCGAGTTGTCTCATTTTTATTACACCCGATCAGTTGGTGAACTCGACTTGTAAGTCGCATATAGCTCATGATCTAAGTATTTGCAAGAGTTACATGGATACGGGTGTTACAAGGCCCTTTTTCCTCTAATAAATGAGTCAGTCGATTATGTATTGAATAATCTTATTTCTTAACTGATTTTTATTAGAAAAAGAAGAAGGTATTTATACCTTCGTTGATGTCTAGGCACACACACATACGCACGCGGAAGACATCTGATCAATATGGAAAAAAGAGGAGAGAACAAAGGGTGAAGAAGAGTGATCATGCATATTCCTCGTGCTTCATACCCAAAGCCGACGAGAAGATGATATAATCATCTTCTTGTAAGAAGTAAAAAGAAAAGAAAACAAACGGAAGAAGATGAAGTAATTTATCTTCTTGTAAAAGTAAAGTGAAACATAGAGAGAAGATGAGGAATTCATCTTCTCATTCAACAAGAAGGAAAAGCCTGGACGAACCAGTTGGTCGTCATGTGAAGAGAGGAGAGAGAGAAAAGAAAAGAAAAGATATACACACGCACGCACATACACACCAAAAAGAAGAAGAAACAAATAGATAGTAATAAAAGTATTACTATTGTTAGAGTGCTCGCTAACAACGGGTAATTTATTGACATTACTCTTTATCTAGGTAAGTAAAGTAAATCATCTTACAAGATAAAAGTTATTACAGTTTAGAGAATAGGAGAGATGTATTCGATAGAGTAGCTTCCGATAAATCAACTTATATCTCTTTGATATCCGATAATTAAGGTAACTGTTGCTCAAAAATAGAATCATACGCATAAATAATCACTTCTATTCTAAGACTTAAATATCATCATTTATATTAAAGTCGATAATATTCGAAGGTGTGAGTGTATTTTTCTCATTCTATTATATATGTATGCTAGCTCTACATGACTCACATATGATACTTGAAATTTACAGAAAACAATCATTTTTTATTCTAACATAATGTAACTATCTTCAAGTATGAACACAGCAGGACAAAGTTAGTTAACAAAATATTACCTTTTTAACATAACATCAACAGATGTAATGTAACAGATGTTTTAAAGCTAAAAGGGGTGGTCGAAAAATCATTTATTTTTACTCACTCTAGAAATGTCGTAATACAGAAGTCCATGCCACCCAGATCACGAATCTGACATACCTTTGTCTAGATCTGAACCCTTTCTTGCCGTGTTTGCCGTAGACCGGTACCTGAGTCTCAGTAGGGTAGTTCTGCAAGGTTTTAAACACAAATACACAAAGTATTCCAAAAATTTTCTTATTCCTCAGAATTTGTAGAGTTTTTTTGCTGATCATTTTCGTATAAGGAAGTCTTGAATTCTATCAAGAAATAACGACGCTATCGTCAAAATAAAAAACATAATAAAATACGGTAAAATAGTTTAAATCCCATTTTTCCTTATACAATATAGGAAAAAGTCGAGTCTCTAATCTCGAACCGACTGTATTCTGAAGAAATATGACATAGTAGGTTTTGTAGAGAAAACTGTGCTCTATAAAACCTGCTATGTCGCATTTCTTCAGAATACAGTCGGTTCGAAATCAGAGACTCGGCATTTTCTTGTATTTTGTAAGAAAAAAAAATGGGATTTTAAGCTATTTTACTATGTTTTTTATTTTGACGATAGTATTGTCATTTCTCAATAGAATTCAAGACTTCCTTATACGAAAATGATCAGCGAAAGAAGCTCTACAAAGTTTGGGAGAAAAGAAAACTTTCTTAGAAAATTTTCTGAATACTTTGTGTTTGACATCCCATGGAACTACCCTACTAAGACTCAGGTACTCCCCTATGAAAATTGTTAGAAAAAAAGGATCAGATCTAGACAAACGGATGTCAGATTCGTGATCTGAGTGACAAGGACTTTCGTATTATGACATCTCTAGAGTGAGTAAAAATTCATCATTTTCCACCACCTCCATTAACTAGAGTTATATTACAGTCAACTTCAATCAAATAATTTGAAAAGATTAATAATCTGTTCAGAGTTTAGAATATCTTAATAAATAAAAGATTGTTTAACGTTCTTTTTATGCTCTCCTAATATTCTCTGACTATAATTTCCTAATATTCTTCCTTTTTTAAGAAACACTAGTACAAGAACCGAATCACAGTACATTATACAAATTAAAACATTACATTTCAACATTCAATATCTTTCCATCTGTTCCACCAACTACCGATGAATACCGACTTCGAAACCA